ACCGCTCCTGTCCCGCTGCACTGTGTTTCAAAGATTTAATCGCCGGCCTCGCTGACGTGCAAACATAGCAGCGCTCCTCCCGCTCGTTAGCATTCACATTCACCCTCACGACGACGCCGTCTCTTCCAGATATGGAGTCCAGCACACGGCGAGTCAGACCACCCATGACTAGGACACATTCAGACACCCCCCAAGGCCCAACCCATCCAACCCCCTCCCTCGGCTAGAACAAGTTGGCCCCCTCTCGCTTCCCTCTGTTCTCTCTGTTGTTTCAGTGGTGTCTCGAGTGGAGAAGAGCGAGAGCAAGAATAGACGGAGGGAGAGCGCTTCGACCGGCGATGTGCTGGACAAAAAAAACATCATGGTGAAATATGTTTCCTATTTAAAAGTCTTCCTTTACATCACTACAAATGTTGACAGCAGATGTCACTGTAATGGAGCTAATAAACAAAAATGTTCATATGTGACTGTGATAGCAGTACTTAGTACAAATGTTTCCCATGCACATGAACACATGAAAGCAGTCTGTTTAGTTGTATGTACAACATGCATTAGGGATATACATATTACAGGCTACATGGATGGTATGATCAAGTCGTGCAAGTCTACGTATGTTGTATGTATGTTGTATGTTTATGTATGTAACATGTAACCTGAATCAGTAAGGAAGATATCACTCTAAAAATACCCAGCAAAGAGCTTGTTTGCTTTTTGGAGAGTTAGCAATCATTCATGAGAACTTTGCATGCAGACACGGGCAGGAAAACTGAAGAAAATATTGTGGGCGCAATACAAAAAACCCCCAAAAAAAAACAAAAGGAGAGAGGAAGAGGACAAGAGAAACGGACAGTGGCAGGCCCACCCAGAGAAAGAGGCAGAGGTTTGTTTACATTCTACTCACTCACTCAAAATCACTGGACCCCGACATCGGTCCCTGGGGCACTCCACCTCTCTTTAATACTTTGAACCCACCCATGAGCGGCAGATGCACCAAACAAGAAAAAATATGCAAAGACACATCCTGATTATTCTCCTCGGTGTGCACACACACACGCGCACGCACCCCCCCCCACCCACACACACACACACACACACACACACACACACACAGAGACCCAACAGGATGTTTTTTGTTCTCTAAGGGAGCGAGTGTGTCTGGCTCTCGTCCGCACTTCCGGCAAACACGTGTACTTATTCTTGAGGAACAACATTCCGGGATAACATTTCACTGACATCAGAGGCCGGCCAAAATAGCAGGCTGCGACGGTCTCGGGCTGGTGTATACAGTGAGCTGCATTTCTGAGATAAAGACACGTTCACCATATACAGCATGAGTCTGTTCTGTTGACACAAGAGAGGGCATGTCAGTGTAGACTGACAGCAGAGGAAGATAACTTTAGGATATACAGGAGGCACTACTGCTATTGTAAATACCATTTGTGCATTTTTACTGCACCCAATCACTTCTACTGTGGCTGTGCAATTGTACAGCAATTGTAATTTTAAAATAACGCTCTATGCTTTTAAAAAGAAAAGGGTTATGAGACCTGTAAAAGGAAGGCACAACTTGAGTCTCTTAAATATTTTTGCTCCTGGGAATGGAGCGAGTAAGTGTGCGATAAAAAAGGGCACTATGTGGTAACTTGAAATGCTAAACTAATTGGCATTTGGAAGCTGAAATAACCAGGTTTTCTTCATACTAGGGAGCTCGATTCAGTAATTGGCTGCATTCTCAGGGTCAAGACCAAAACAGGCTGAGATCAGAGGAGCGAGCTCGTCACAGGTACGTCATTACTTTATATGTGCAGCAGAGTTATGAAAAACATTTCACTCAAATCATTTGCTGGGAAGCAAAATGAGGATGAATTCCATCCGCACCCACGCATTTCTTCAAGGATGAACAGAGATGGATCCAATCAACATCATTTATTCTGCTGCCGTGCTGTAGATCTAATCGAAAGAAGTGATGCAATGTTCAGTTCCACCACAAAAGGGACTCACTAAATAAGTCCCGGGGCTGTGTGATTTGAACACCAGCCCAAAAACTCCTGATGCACAAGATAACTCCACACTTCATCAACGCCCGGTCGACTCAGATGAGCTCTTTATTCCAGCTCGTCATCCCGCGGCGCCGGAGGCTGTCAGCGGAGAGTACGACAGGAAGAGCAAACGTCTCACCTTGTCCTCATCTCCAGGGTGCAGGGGGAATGGGACTGCTCTACAGCCCTGGAGCCGTCGACGGAGTAAGACGGGGGGGCCCAGGAAGAGGGCAGGTGTTGCGTAAAATAAAGCCAAGGCAATATGCAGACGGCCACGCTGCATCTTTCTATGTTGAAAAACCCGACAGCGTGTTCTGTAAAGCCCCGCGGTATCCACGACAACTCAGACAAACACCTGTGCATAGACAGAAACACACAAATGCAGACGCGACTCGCCGACACTCCTATGAAAGTGGGCGCAGTCATTGGTGGGGAAGAGCTGAGGGATTATCTATCACACAATACATGCAGACTGGACTAATACAGAGAGATTAGCTGCAACTAACTCTGAATGCTGTCCAAAATGAGTCTGTCTGGGAGGCTTAGCGCTGCCCTTTAAACAGCACACCTGCATCGGCTCTGTGGATCTGATGGAGCCTGAGAGCGGCGGTCTTCCACCATGCCTACATCTGTTAAATGTGAAACCTCTCAATCCAAATATGTCCGGGCGGGGGGGTAGATCAAATTTGAGCTTGTCTTTCACTTGTACGGGATTATTTTGGACTTCCTCCTTGGCTTTGCTCAAAACAACATCGGGCCTGCTGTCTTCTACAAACACCACACCAAAGGAAAAACAAATCCCTTCTTCCTCTCCGCTTAGCGCTTAACCCTCTTATTTATTTTCGCTTGCTCTTGTGTCGTGATCATTCTGCTTGCACAGGAATAATGTCCAGGGTAACTGTGGTGCTGATTCGTGCACTTCTGGCTGCTTATAACTCAGGTCATCTAGGAGTTTCGATCTATTTAGCTGTTACGCTGACCGCACGTCGTTCTGCACAACAGCCACGATAAAATATCACAGAGGTAATGAATAAATAAATGTGTCATGGGTCAAATACTCTGAACCTCTTTGTTGACCAGACAGGAGGAATTTTCCACCAACAACACACTGCATTCTTGAAATAGAGAAAAAAAAACGTTCCTGCTTTGGCAAACACCACCCAGGTTAGGATAAGTTTAACCTCGGGCAAACAAGCCAACACATACTGACTATTGTATACACATGGGGGTTTGCATGTGCACAAACAATCACACACACAGTCCTACGCTTGATCCCGCTTGATAATAGTACTCCAAAGAAGGAGTGTTGGTGAATGTGAAGGAGTAATGACAGCGTTCACTCCACCTTCTCTCCCCTTTTGTCTCCCCCCTCTGAAAGCCTGGATAGTTAAGCTCTTAAGGGACAACACAACACAATTAGACAGACTAATTACCCCCTCCATACCACCCATTCCTCACCCACACCGACAGGCTGAGGCAGGAGTTCTGTCTGCCTACGAGCTTCCCAAGGACAGGGCCTATATGCACTGATTGGACATTTTAAGGCAATTCAGCGGGCCCTCTATCAACAGGAAGGCAAGAGCAAATCTTATAAACCACCACACAAGAAGAAGGGCAAAGGTCAGAGCCACAGAAATCTGATAGCATTTCTGTTACAGAACAGCTTGAAGATATAAGTTAAAGTTACTGCAAGCTTGCATTAAGGGTTTCTTTTTGAGAATATGATGGGAGATGGATGCTGACACAAGTCAAATCAGCCTTCAGCATTCATCCTCTTCAAACCCAGATAAAACGCAACTCTAAGAACCCCTTTTAAAGGAGCAAGCGAGAGGCTTGTGTTAACAAGCTGAAGCTGCCAGTTCAGCGGCAGGTTAATGATGGACATAGTCACCCTGCAGGTGATTTGGACTCGGCCACGGACACGCTGGAAGGATTTAGAGGCAGGGGAGTGCTGACCCGCTCTTTGATGTCTCCTGCCCACATTTCCTCTGGGTAACGAGGAAAATCAGCAGCTTTGTACAGTATCAAAAGTCCAAAAGCCAGAAAAAGAATCAGGGTCAGGGAGTCATTGCATTTTTCTTTTTTTGTCTTTGTCGGGAAGTTTTGTAACAGTAGAAAGAGAGGCGGAGGAGAGATCAACCGGCCAAACAGGAAAGTTTCACTTTGTGCTCTGACAGTTGTGGATGTGGGACGGGCCGAGGCACCGCTGAAAATATTTGGCGGGGAGTTTTGAAAACTCCTTCTTCCTTAAGGACGGGGCCAACCCCGCCTCCTCCCTTGCAGCCTGAGAAAGTGAGCCAAAACTTCCTTTGAGAAGGAAAGGACTCTGGCACGGCCTGTGTTTAGTATGGTGAACCACTTCATGATCTCTGTGCGTCTACTAAACCATATGTAACTTTTTTCTCGCCGTTGGGGGTATTAGGAATATACTCTGGGAGCGAAGGCGGCAGCCCCGGTGATCTTTCTGAAATATTACCCAGCATCGGAGACAGATTGAGGAGAAATGCAGGAGGGGGGGGGTGTTCAGACCATGTTCCCCTTAATCTTTGGGGCTTCTCAGGTAGCACCCATTACCCGTGAATTAGTTTCCCTCCCTATAGAAGAGCAGACACGGTTCACTTCCCAGGTAGGGATCTGTATAGTCCTGACTAAATACTTAAATACACACACACACACACTGATTAGTAAATCATGTGCAGACTGAACGGGCAGCCAGATGAGACAACTCACTGACAGTGATGCATTACTCATCTAGTTTCCCCTCTTAGTTGATGACCAAAAGCCAGCGACATCATCCCACTGGAGCACACATGACTCACCACCATGTGCCTGAGCTCTGCTTCAGAGCTACACCTGCTTAGATGAGCCAAGATGGGAAAGGAGAGCGTGACAGATACTGAGAGAAAGAGAGAGACACCTGCGGAGTGTCACCATGCTGTCTGCGGAGCCACCACCACTGACCTTGCAGATCTTGCTCTCCTCCATCTCTGCTCTGGACCTCCCGTCAGGTGTCCTCTGGTACCCGGACTTGATGGACAGCTGGCAGGAGAGCCCCGGGGCGCCCTCGCCCGCCCCGAGCTCCTGCTGCCGGGCAGCGTAGCTCTGTGAGGCGGCCACCCTGACCGCGCTGGGGATGGGGAGTGCGGTATGCACCGGCTTGCTGCCCACCGTGGAGGGTTGCCTGAGCTTGGAGGCGACGCCGACCACCGGCATGGTGCTTCCCCCCCCCCCCCCACCCGGGCACAGAAATAACAACACAAGAGTGGGTCCGAAAAAGTACGGCGAGGAAAGGGGAGACAATTCTGTTGTGACTCCTTCTGATGTCTGCACAGCAGAGGAAGGAAAAACTAAAAAAGAAAAGAAAAAGGAAAAAAATAAATACAGCAGTCACCTCTCAGACTGAGAGGAGAGCAACTGTGCTCATTCTGTAGCCTACAGCGAGCAGGACTGGCAGAAACTGAGAGAGCTTCTCCTTCCTCCAGTTCACTCCCTCCTCCTTCTCCTCCCACAAGCAACACTCCTCCCTCTCCTTACTCTCTCTCTCTCTCTCTTTCAGAAGTATACCACAAAGTCAGCCAAAACAGTTCAAGGGGGCGTGAACTCCTCTGGAAGGTACAACCACCACTGGCAAAACCCTGATTGCTCAGACCTGGCTGAGTGTGTGTCTGTCAAAACAGCTCTCTCTTTCTCTCTCTCTCTCTCTCTCTCTCTCTCTCTCTGAACACTGAACACTAGAAATAGACACACTCTCACCGTCTACATCTGGAGCTTCCCCTTCCTTTGATGAGAGAAACAGTGGAAAAGTGAGAGGGGGAAAAAAGTTATACAAAATGTGGAAATCGAAAAAAAAAAGAAGGTTTGAGGGGTGAAATTAGAAAAAAAAAGTAGAATTCCAGTATGAACAGCTGTTGGAAGCTCTCTGTGAGAAAGAACTTAAGGGAAACAAAGTTAATCAGGTACCAGATTGCAAGTTGCTCGACTGGTTTCTACTGCTGAGCCTCTCACACTACTCTCTCACAGTATTCTTCCTGAATGGAAACAATGAAACTTAAACAAAAATAGCCTCACTAAGTGATCTTAAATATCGAATTGTTTTTTTGTTGTTATTAAGTATTTAGAATTATGAATCAGTACCCCTTCAGCAGGTGCCAGAAGTCTTGTACTTCAACAGGAATGTTGTGGCAGCAGTGGCTCCAATACACACTAATGAATCCTGAACCCTGGAGACCTTCGGTAATGTTTTGGCCTCCGTATGCTTCAAACAAAGTTGTGACAAAGTTGCTTGTAAGACGGTGCGACAGTATCTCAAACACCCTCGCCCCCCCGCACCTTTCCAATGCTGGAGGTAGGGCTGCGCGATGAATCGTTTCAGCACTGACAACACGATTTGCGCATGCGCAACAGTCACATCGACGGACGAGCAAAGTCATGTCAGGCGAATAAACTCGAACACGTCATGTTACGACTTTTTGTGCTGATACAAAAAAAGGAAAACTTGCATGGTTCTCACTTTCCATGACTAATCTACAAGAGAAGTCTGTCTGATGGAACATGATTTATTCCAATACACGGGATTCATCTGCTAGTGACTGACATGCAGGCTCTGCATGCACAGTGAACCACCAATCACAATCAGTCTTCATCAATTTATTAAAAAGGACCAAAGCAGGCCCCGCTAGGTTTGCGACTGACAACTTTGGCAACTTTCTGAGAGCTACAATCTGACAATCGCGTCAACTTTGCACAGCAGCTGTCCAGGTATGTGGAGGTGAATAAAGGCAGGATATACGCTTCTCTCTTAAGCTCTCTTTTTCATTCTTTTTTCCACTTTTCATGTGTACAGCTGAGATGCCACTACGTCAAGTTGTCAGAGCTACCATGGAGCCCACACTGTCACTAACTGCAGTCCCTGAAGAAATATTATATACATTTTGAATGAATTGAAATTAAGGAACACTTTTCCTGTAAAACGGATAGGTCTTTATTTACTGTTACAATCATTCAAAAGCAAAAGTAGCATTTGTATATGTCCAATATAACTTCACTAGCTAGCATAGCATAGACGTGCTAATGCTAGTTCATGAAGCGCAACGTTTTAGGAACGTGTATATATCTCCTTCCAACCTCTCCGGGTAACAAATATCACAATTATACAACGTTTGACCATGACGAGCTCCAAATCTACTGAAATTTAAAAAATCTAAAACCATTGCATGATAGTCTGCGCAGCAGAGCTGATTGGTAGTAGGAACCTGGTCAGAGCTGGCTGATGCTACGCTATGATTGGCCAGTCTGCGTTTGAAGGGCGGGACTTAGCGAAGGGTCAATTGGTAAATTTCTTTAAACAGTAAGAGGGCTCAATCCTTAGTTGAGCATTTAGAAATCTATGGTTGTTGTATGTTATCGCTTACTGTATGTAGCTTTTCAAAGTGCAGGTAGTATTGATTATTGGATTGGGTTTGTCAGAATGTGTATAGCTGGCATATGCTCAGTAGTACAACCCTCATGCATTAATAGAATATGCTGGCTTTAGGCTGCTTTTCTATAACAAGAAACAGAGTTTGCATTAGTGTCCAATGTATATCACTGATGTGGAGAACAGGAGGCTGACAGCATCACTCACAAACATCAAAACCACAGCATTCTCCTCTGGCCATTCAGATATCATGAATATCAAGTCTATCCAAGCTTTTTATTTTTTGATTTCTCAGATGGTTTCAGCAAGACTTTTGTGTTCCAGTTTTTGATATTACAGAAAGGACAGCAGAGTTAATGCAGCACAGATAGAAATCCGAGAGTGAGGATTTCTTCAAAGACTTCAGCTGTACAACGGCATTGGAAACTACATGTTTTCTATCAAGCGCTTTGTTGGTTGGTGAGAGACAGATGAGATAGTACTGCATTTGGACTGCATTAACCGGACACAATATGACATGTAGCAGGTTTTTTCCCCCCCTCCTTTTATATAAAAGGGAGTGAAAGTTTTATATGGAAAGGCTCCATCTGGTTCAGGTTAGGGAGGCGAGGAGATGTGCTGGAATCAGAGGGGCACATTGCAGTGTCACGGCAAACCGGAACTCTTTAACACGGCATCGTCTAATAAAAAAGAGCAGGGGGAAGGCGAGTGGAAACCAAAAAACAGAGGGCTCTTCTCACAAATGTGTCCTTACCACAAAAATCACAACAGCTCAAATGTAACTCCCTCCATGAGGCCTTCTGTTTAACCCCTTTTTTTGTTTTGAGTTTGACTCGTACAAAAAGGTCAATGTAAAAAGTTCTTAAAAGTGCGACATGATTACTTTACACGCCGCTGCTTCCTCTTCTACTCACTTTCATACCACCTCAATGCCTCTGACAGTCAATTGCCTTAATAGGGACGCTGCTTGCCCCGGCCCAAGAATAGCAGCGGCTGCTCCAGCATGTTTTCAATCATGCACCAGGAGCGATCATGACAAGCCTAAAACAACAGGATACCACGTGAATGAATGGCGCAAGTCCAACCTCGACTTCTGCTGCCGCTGCCTGCCGAGCAGCACGAACCGGAGCGCACTTGGCAGGTGTCCAACCTCGCCTGGATCTGTCGGGAAACCCGTCTCTGACGAGGCTCCATACCCGGGGGTTTGCAGAGACGAAACGAGCTCACGCCAAACCTCAGAGAGGTCTTAAGAAAACCCTCTCACTTCCCGCAGGTTGTTCTAGAGGTAATCATCCTACGCTGCAAAATGTCTCCGCTATCTGCATGTGATGAGGCCACCGCTGAAAGGTTCCTCGTTTCTCAACAGCGCAATGCTCCAAAGTCAACAGTGGCAAAGCAGATCTCATGTTCGCTTCCATCCTCACACACGGCGTTGGGGAGGTCAGCATCCTTATGTTTGGCTAACGGGGCCAACCGCTTCTCTAAAAATAGTACGACGCCAACTGTGTCACGGTTGGAATGTGGAGGGAGCGGAGTGAGGCGAAGACTGGAGCGGATTTCACTGATGGGAAGATGTTGACAAAAAGGAGATGAAATGATCGCGCTGTGTTGCTGAATTGCTCAACTTTTGTTTTTGTTTTTGATTCATATTTCAGAATATGTGGCAGGCCAGACTGCAAAGCCATCAGTGGAGCTGAAGTCAAGACCACCTCGTTGAGTCCAGGCCCATTCCAAGAATAGGATCCTGTCAAATTTATAAACTGAGTCTGAGCGATTGGTCACAACTAAGACAAGAAAAACATCACAGCAAACCAAACATGAAGGAAAAATGTTAAATGAAAAACTAGGAACAAAGATGTATACCGACATATGTGCAGGAGTGCAACCCCTTCAGCATCCAAGTAACTGATGTGTACAATTCTGACCATATTTATCTGAAAGGTGAAGAAAAAGGCAACTGAAGGTAACATCTCGTTAACATGCCTTCATCTTGTTTTGGCACGGACATGACAAAGACCTCACCGCACCTAAATTTAAAGCTCCGGTGACTATTCGTGTGACGGCTGCCCAGCAAAGCTTCCCTGGGTTTCTGGCAAAACCACCACTAAATATCTGGTGGAGAGGGAACGCATTCCAGCGGAGGGGAGGGGGAAGGTGGAGGTGGCATTTGAGGAGGGAGGGATGGAAGCTGGGAGGTTGACACACTTGCCAAGTGCTCCACAATAATTCCCTGCTAAACGTGACTGGGTTCTCCTAAAGCACACTGCAGGGCACGTTAATATATTTTTGGAACAGCTTAGTCATGAATATTCAAACAGAGCCCTTTACATAGAATACTCGCGGCCGAGTATATCATGTGTTTGTGTTGTCTATTCGTAACGCCGCCAGTGTAGGACTGTCATGACCGAAGGAAATCTGAGTCGACTAGCACTCATACGATGTTGTCGACTAATCGTTTAATTGATTTAATGGACAGATCAGTAAAAATGGAAAATGTATTCCCACTGGTTAAAGTTGGTGCCACCTTTGTGACGCTCATATCCATGTTCTGTGGTTTGGATGCTGTTGGAAAACAAAACAATCTAATAGCAGTTCAGTCAGTTAGAATAACAGATATTTCTGGGTTATGGAATCAATAATGTCACGTGTTTATTATCTGTTCCTGGCAGTGGGTGGATGGTTGGTAACCTGCACTGGTGTGTGTGGGTGTGTGTGTGTGTGGTTTATATGAACAATACCGCCCAGGGTCACATGACGTCAGCACTAGGGTTGTGTTGTAGCTGTGAAAACAAACACGCTGGGGTGCTGGAGATAAGAGAGGGTCAAACACCTTACAACCTCCCGGCGGACACACACACACACAGAGTCTAACCCCCCCCGGGATACGAGATAGTCACGCAGCTGGATCTGTCAGCGCTCTGAATGCTAACAGTCAACCGCACGTCAGGCAACATGGGAAATAAAACAAACACACACACACACACACACACACACACACACACACACACACAACAAAGAGGTGCCCGAGCATTCGGAGGCATGCACGGCGGCTCGGTGAACACAGGCATGTGCCAATACCATACATCAAGCGTGACCCGGGTGGATGTAAACATGCACTCACTTTCATCTTCTCCCTGGTTCAGGATTCACAGATAGATTCCTGCTCCTCGGTCAACCTTTGGCTTCTCCGCGCTCAACCAACCACGCAAAAAACACGCATTCATCCACAACACATCGGAGCATCACGGGAAACCTGTTTTCCATTCACACAGGCTGTAGTTCACATCGCAGGTGTTCGTATTCTGTTCACGATGTCTGCGTATGTGAAATGTTTTCAATGGCTTTAGGTATTCTAGGATGTAGACAATGTAGAGACCTTCTGTGTCGGGCAAATATCAAGTCAGAGAATCAGCATAATAAAAATGTAACCTTAAGGTATGGGTTTTTAAGATCACTCAACATTTAATCATATATCCTGATGAGCATGCAACCCTAAACCTCACCCCTAACCCTTTTCTTGCTTTAAGACCATTACCGGCCTGGATCGCTATTTGACCTATATGTGTGCCGCCAGTGTTAGTAATACAGCTTTACGTTGACTGTTTCTCCCTTATTTATTCATTGACTTACATTTGCTCACTCCCTTATTCCCACCTCCACTTACTTCCTTGTGCACTCAGTTATTGGTAAACATATGTTGTTCTTGCTATCTTTACATTTGACTTTCAGTAGTATTTCAGCACTTATACCTCTTTCCAACTCTCTCCCTCTCCACTGCAATAGCTCAGGTACTCACTAAATAGCTCCTTCACCCTTTCACTTGGATATTTTCCCCTTCTGTCGCTCCGTCTTCCTCTCTTTGATAGCGAAGTCCCCCGGCTCGTATTACAAGTGAAATAATGCGCCACTTCTGGGGTCGGAACTTGGATCCAGAATTACGGCGAGAATGTTTGGGAGTGTCGAGAGAGTCGTTTGGATTTCCATCCCGTTGTGTTGGAGGAGTGAAAACAAAACACATCATTCCTGTTCTATGACACAAGGATAAAACGATTCTACAAAGGGGGGATGAGGGACGACAAGGCTATGACAATACATCATTTTCACCGCAGCTTCTACATGGTGCGATGCTTGTAACTGCTCTCCAGTTTATCAGTGACATGATTCTATTACAGAGAGACGATCTACCGTATAGAAAGCAGTTTTGGATGACATTTGAAACAGCAGAGTACCCCTCAAAGCCAGCTCTTACAAATCATGACAACTGCTCCTTGTTCTGTCAAATCTAGACACCCAGCTCAGCCCTCCATCGCAATACATTGCTTTATAGCCTCCACTGTCGGAGCTTTCTTCACTTCCCCGTCGTAAAAAACACTGCACTTTTACACTTGACGCATCGTAAAGGCCACCGACTTTGATTCCTCACGGCCCTGCCGGCGTCAATCAATTCCCATTTACAACCATTGCATTCCTTTTCGCTACAGCCTTCCCCACATCCACCCCATACCTCGACGTTTCCCCTCTTGTGAAACACTGGTGTCCTCGGCGAATCTCTGATTTCACAGCTGGAGTTGATAAAGTGCTGAAGTGCTGAATGGGACTCTTCCCCTCAAAAACAACAAGCAGGAGAGGGAATGTGGAGTTGTCCTGAAGTTTGGGTGAGCTGTGCTGGAGAAAAGGAGCTGACCATTGAATCGTGGAGTTTAGAGAAGGTTGAAGGGTCAGGACACAATTTCATTTTCATTTACTCTTCCCGCTGTCTCTGCCGATGCTTTCCTTCTCTCTGTAAAGCTCATCTATTGTACTAAAGACAAAAATAATTCATAATTACTGCTTTAAAGGCATTGATCCAATCTGCCTCTACTTTAATTACACTGCTGTTATGTGCAAAATGAAAGGAATGTTCACAATGCAATGCCTTTGTTCGGCCCATAATTCTGAAACCCACATTTTTTGAAAAACGTCCCATTAGAACGAAAGCTCATTTGTCAAACAGCCTGCTGACCCTCCATGAAACAAACAGAAGCACATGGCTGATTATTAGGCAGAATGAGGGCGAAGGCATGACTCTGCCTCAGGTTGGCTTATCTGATTATCTTACCCTAAACTAATCAATCTCACTCCTCATGGCTAAATCTAACCAACAAAAGCAACACGCAATAAGAGCGTGGGACCAAAGCACTGTACTGCTGCGGAAAGGGGCAGCAGGAAAAAGAAAGGCTGACCATTGATAACTATGGTGTCTTGTGGCTTTAAGGAGAGTATAGATAAGTTTCACTTATCCAACTTACCCAACCTTTTAATAATAAGAAACCTGCTTATCCAGTTTCCTTTACACACTATTCTAACAGTATCCAGGTTTCTGACTCTCTGACTCTGACACATTATCTTAGACACAATTATTTCTGTTCCAAATGACTAATTGTTTCATCCATAATATTAACGTGAATAGTGTCTCCAACATGCGACATTTTTGTCTGCAAGTTCTTTCAAAAGTCTACAGGGAGCTGCAGTTGAAAATGCTGATTAATTGTAGAGTTAGCTGCTAAAGCGCATTCATCTGTGACAATGTACACAGGGTCTGCCCCGAAATGCTGGAGCGTCCCAACACAACATCAATCACCACAGACAAGTACTAATCCTGTGGGAATCACTAGTTACACCTCGAGTCCACAGGCTCTCCATTTCCTCTCAACGCGCTCATCCTCCAAGGTTTCTGCACACATGCATCATGATATGATGACAACTAAACCAATTCGGAGGCTCACGTTGAAATGTTTTATTCCCTACGAGTGCACCTGAAAATAAAAACCACCGGGTGGGGGGCAAGATGGAGACAAACTCAACTCATAAGGTCACGGTCAGTCAGCTCCGCGGGAGACAGACTGCAGGAAACTCTGCGTCAGCCGGCAGGAAGACATTTCACCACCTCTTGTATCGTGTCTCCACTGGGGACAAATGTATCATGCTGTATTCATAGAGTGACAGCAAGTTTAACAATGAAAACTGATGTGCAACAAGAACACCAATCCAATGCATCATTCAATTAAAGCTTTGTATTCGATCTGATGGATAGAAAAATAACTCTTTTATTATTTACTACAGTCAACACCTTCATAATACCAACAAAGGCAGTGTGTTTGAACCGCATAAGCTCTTGCCAAACAACAGACAAGTGCTCTTCATCCCCTGAGTAACCAGCTTAAGCCTCATTACTTTTGAATGTGCGTTAAGGCACAGCTTTTAACCTCCATCCCCCCCCCATGGGCTGTAAAACAGGGAGAGCTTGTTGTTTGCTCATCTGATAAACACATATTGGTGTCATCTGTGGCTGGCCCCGGGGTTTGCTTTGACTCGGCCTCATTAGCGGCGAGGCTCATGCACAATGGCCGCTTTAACGCCGTCTGAGAGTGCCGTCTGATTAAAGAAGAGGGTTGGAGGCCGGACCCCTGGAAGCTGGCTCGCTGTCAACATGTCCAGATGTGAGGGTGATGCTGAGCACATGTGCCTCTCATATACAGTTGTGTGAAAAAGTGTTTGCCCCCTTCCTGATTTCTTATTTTTTTGCATGTTTGTCACACTTAAATGTTTCAGATCATCAAACAAATTTAAATATTAGCCCTGTGTGAAAAAGTGATTGCCCCCCCTCCCCTGTTAAAACATAAATTAACTGTGGTTTATCACATCTTTGGAAAGCTGAGTTCAATTTCTCTAGCCACACCCAGGCCTGATTACTGCCACACCTGTTCTCAATCATTAAATCACTTAAATAGGACCTGCCTGACAAAGTGAGGTAGACCAAAAGATCCTCAAAAGCTAGACATTATGCTGCGATCCAAAGAAATTCAGGAACAAATGAGAAACAAAGTAATTGAGATCTATCAGTCTGGAAAAGGTTACAAAGCCATTTCTAAAGCTTTGGGACTCCAGTGAACCACAGTGAGAGCCATTATCCACAAATGGCGAAAACATGGAACAGTGGTGAACCTTCCCAGGAGTGGCCGGCCGACCAAAATTACCCCAAGAGCGCAGCGACGACTCATCCAAGAGGTCACAAAAGACCCCAGAACAACATCCAAAGAACTGCAGGCCTCACTTGGCTCAATTAAGGTCAGTGTTCATGACTCCACCATAAGAAAGAGACTGGGCAAAAATGGCCTGCATGGCAGAGTTCCAAGACGAAAACCACTACTGAGCAAAAAGAACATAAAGGCTCGTCTCAGTTTTGCCAGAAAACATCTTGATGATCCCCAAGACTTTTGGGAAAATACTCTGTGGACTGACGAGACAAAAGTTGAACTTTTTGGAAGGTGTATGTCCCATTACATCTGGCGTAAAAGTAACACGGCATTTCAGAAAAGGAACATCATACCAACAGTAAAATATGGTGGTGGTAGTGTGATGGTCTGGGGCTGTTTTGCTGCTTCAGGACCTGGAAGACTTGCTGTGGTAAATGGAACCATGACTTCTGCTGTCTACCAAAAAATCCTGAAGGAGAATGTCTGGCCATCTGTTCGTGACCTCAAGCTGAAGCGCACTTGGGTTCTGCAGCAGGACAATGATCCAAAACACACCAGCAAGTCCACCTCTGAATGGCTTAAGAAAAACAAAATGAAGACTTTGGAGTGGCCTAGTCAAAGTCCCGACCTGAATCCGATTGAGATGCTGTGGCATGACCTTAAAAAGGCGGTTCATGCTCGAAAACCCTCCAATGTGGCTGAATTACAACAATTCTGCAAAGATGAGTGGGCCACAATTCCTCTACAGCGCTGTAAAAGACTCATTGCCAGTTATCGCAAACGCTTGATTGCAGTTGTTGCTGCCAAGGGTGGCCCAACCAGTTATTAGGTTTAGGGGGCAATCACTTTTTCACACAGGGCCATGTAGGTTTGGATTTTTTTTCCCCCTTAATAATAAAAACCTTCATTTAAAAACTGAATTTTGTGTTTACTTGTGTTATCTTTGTCTAATATTTAAATTTGTTTGATGATCTGAAACATTTAGGTGTGACAAACATGCAAAAAAATAAGAAATCAGGAAGGGGGCAAACACTTTTTCACACAACTGTATATATATATATATATAAATACTGTACGCACAGAAGAGTCGCTCGCAACATTGCATGATAACAGCCTGCATTCCCCGTACAACATCTCATTATGTTTAACGTCCACTCAACAGCACCAGCTTGTTAAGGATGCCTTTAAACACAGCCCGCGGCGCTGTGCTGTACATGCTCACTGTCTTGTAAACTACACGCGGTCGTTGCAGAAGCTTCTAAGAAAAAAAGCGCAGCTGGCGGGCGTCTCTCCTCTGTTTTGATTTATGATGCGGTGAGGGAGGGAGGAGTGAGGACAGTCATCTAATTGGTACGCTCTGACCTACGGGTGCAACAACTCAAGAGGGTTTCTTTCTGAAAGATCCAGGTCCAGCTTCAACAGCTGAGTCGCCGTGAGCAGGACTACCGTTGACCCGTGACTGTGTGTGTGTGTGTGTGTGTGCGTGCGTGACAAGACAGCGGCGGGAGTTCCTCTTCTCTGAAGCAAATGCGTCGGCTGTACATCCTATTGAAGCATGGGCCCCTCCTGACAAAGTTGCTGAGCAACTATATCTTCATTCCTCGTTAATATGTTAATATGATAACTTCTTATTAGGTCTACAGTAAATGCCGTTTCAGAGAATTAACTCCTCTTTCTATCGCAGACTAAATATTTATACAAAATGAGCATTTCAATGATGATGTTACAACATTTTGGGGTTTTGTACCCGTTTCCTGTGGGCGTGTTTTGCTAGTGCGGCCCATGTTGAGCTGCTTGTGGTTGAGGCTACATCACACCCGAACGTCGAACTCGCAGCTGACAAAAATTGAGACATGTGTTTGTAGTGAGAGCCGGTTAATATTACGTGTATAAGCGGAATCATCGCTGATGCCAATCTTCTCCGCATCAACGGCGACTCTGACTCTCCGCTGTTCCTCTTCGCTTATCTTCCTTCCCTCTTACCGCCTCCATCAATCAGTGAGAGGCCGCCAAAGCCTTGCAGGCCGTACAGTGTAAAGTGTGCGCGGAGCACAAAAAACAGGGGGAAAAAAAGGTCAAAGTAAAAGAGAAGCCAGCATTGCTTACTCTCTCTGTGTGTGAGATACAGACAGAGATAGTAAATAGTGTTTACTCCTGTGTGTGTGTGTGTGTGTGTGTGCGTGTGAGTATCTAAGGCAACTAGCCGGTGTGATTACACGTGAGGCTCTTCTCTGTTTGATGACAGCTGGTGAAAGCTTAATTGTGCTCCGAGTCACCCCAGAACCCTAGTTATTACAGGATCCTGTTACAGGTAAACAGAGACCTACACACTGTTTTTTGATTTTCTGGACCAGGTTAAAAAATACATACGACACAAGGCTTAGCGTGTGGACCATCAGGGTTATAGAAGGTCTGAATCTAAAGCGTATGTCTGTCGAGTTCAGCAATCGTGACATACACCAAGTACTGTCAGCCAACCCTTCAGATTAGCCATTTCTAAAGCCTTTATAGCCCTAGCCCTATTTTTATGCCTCTGCTCGAAAATTGCATACCCATACCTTTTAGACTGTAGATCTGAAACTACAAGGTCTATTTTAATAATTTTGATGGTATAACACAGGTAAAACTTGTGAGAGACTTTTTCAAATGTGTAAATATTGTGTATATGTTACTGGTTAATAGTGAATGAAGATGCACGCAGCTCAAATTGAAAAGTTCCAGGTTTGCCTGAAAAAAAAGCACTTTTATTGAACATTTTTTTTGAAATAATGCAGATTGAAGCCTAAAAATACTCCACAGTCATAGCACAACAGGTATCTGGTCTGTCGAAGCTAATTTTACTTAGCAGGCCAGCATAAATGAGGTCTGAGTACAGAATTTCTAGCCAAATTTTCATTTTTGGAACCAGATTTTGCGCTGCTCTATTCTAATTTTATATACTATATAACTACATATTAACTATATATTCACTTGCTTTATCACTAAGAGTGTTCAATACATCATAATAAAGCAGTTTGCAATAATTTTCAGCCATGTTCAGTTATTTCCAGATGTCATATGTGTCATCCATAAAAAAAAACCTGCTCTGACTCAGTGTGTATGTGGGATTTGTAAGGCCTGTGATTGGCGGATTTAGTTATATGACACGTTTTAGGTCCGGAATAGTCCATTGAAAGCCGTCAGGGGTGTTATTTGGAATGCTGAGTCAGTAAAAATCTTGATAAGGTGGGCTCGACCCCCATGCAAAAAATAGGTTGGTCCAGGCGAAGAATGAGGGCCATTTTCGCATGCCAGGTCACAGCACGTTCATTTCAATGCAGGCAGACAGACAAGGAAATGCACTACAGCTCTGCAGCAACTTTCAATGGAATAACTGTTTTTTTCCAGATGAAAATCGCCAAAAGGTATGTAGATTTTCAATTTTATTTCTCGAGAGCAGTGTGTGGTTTCTTGGGGTTTCTCCTGTGACCTTTGAATGCTTTGTCGGAGGTCTATTTGGACACGCTGGGTCGACGCTGTATCGAGCCCTCGTGCGAAATCATGTATCGTTCCGCCATTTTCGCTGAGGCTTTGAGATGAAAGATGAATTTCTGCTGCATAGTTGGCGAATTTTTTGCAGAAAAATCTTCTAGTGTATTGAATTAGTTTGTGTATAACTGTGTATAATTGTGTAAAATGGCTTGCATGATGATTTTGCCTGGACTTTTTTTTTTTTTTCGATATTTTACATGTCTGGACCATTTTTCATATTTCTTGATAAAGTCCATTCGGAACCTCGGTACCGGGACTCGAACCCCAAATGGGGCTCGCTCGGGCTAAAGAGGTTCTAAGCAGCTCTATCTGGTGGTATGCAGCACTTGGAGACTAGTGCAGACGGAGAATAAATGGACTTCATAGTTTCTCCTGTTGCAGAGGGGTGCAACAGGTGAGGATTTTACTGGCAGCTGAGTTTTGGATTGAATAGGGAAAGCAAATGACAGCCAAACCTGCTTGTGTTATATTTCTGCATTTTCACTTTGCTTATTTTACCGTGGAACCAAATGAATGTATTGTTACATCAACACACCATCTGGATTCTTATAGGTCTTTATGAGGGTTGGTTGTGTTGTTAATAGGCAGCTGTCGACAAGCTCTCAGACTTACTGTCAAGCTGTCAGCTGTTTCTGTTGCCCAGTCTGCAGACAGGAAATGTTCATTTCACTCATCACCGCTGCAGATTAATTAGGTTCCTTTCAGGTGCAAAATCACAGCGAAAGAAACAGGCCCATGCATGCACCTATGAGCCTCTGTAAAGAGGCATCCAGGTCACTAAGCATTAGTGGTGTCAAACTCAAATTTTGTTAAACTACCAAATAATATATTTCCAGGATATATTTGCCAACACTAAATTTGTATCAGAAAGATGTACGTCATTCTATCATGTTAAGTTGGCGTGCTAAATAGACAGGATTCAAACCAGGTTTGTCCGCCCTTTATAAATTCTACT